AATAAAAAATTGTTCTCGTAGTTCTCCCGAATGAAGAGGTTCTAGTTTCTTCTGCGAAATGAAAATCCCCGTGGAATTCACAATCGGTTCATGAGAAAAATCATCTTTTTGAAAAATCCATTAATTTCAAATCAATTTCATAAGCCCCATTTATTCTCCTCGAAGATGACAATGAAATCCTTAGACTCCCAGCAATTAGAAAAACGAAAAAATGAATCACGATCATCAGAGAGACTATTTTAACGAGTGATTGACGCGAATCAAAACCTCTCAATGTAAAACTACAAAGTAACACTGCATGCAACTCGCTAAAAATACATGAGAATTTTCAAAATAAACTCAGTTAACGCTGAGGTTGAATTATTTTGATGCACTTCAGTCTCGACAGACTGGTATGACGGTAATTCAACGTGGTACCCGTGGATTTGTTGGTGTAACATATCTCATAATTCATACCCAGACTTTTCCAACCGAGTGCGAAATAGCAGTTGGCAACAACCGCCACTTCGCAATTGCTTAACTAACTTTATGATTAATGAAAATTTTCATACTTAAATTTAATGGCAATCGTAAATACCGGGAATATCGGTGAGTCTGATCATATCCGTAAATAACTACTGGATATTCTCAATTGGACTTACTTTGAGGAAATGAAAGTCTTCTACGGTGTATTTTTTGAATCTCGGTAGATTAGTAGCTGGTGGAGTTATTCTGCCACTTCCATGTACATGATCCGAGCTGTCTGAATTTCTCTGATTGTCTGATGATTGTGAAGGGGCTGTAGAAAAAAAAATAATCATTACCACGAGCACCCACAAATTGGCTCGCATGTTCCCATCAATTGAAATCAATCAATAATCTAATTAATCTAAAGGAAACCCAGAAGAAATGAGGAACAAGTGTTGGGAATTAGTCATTGGCCCTGGCCCAATCGAATTACCATCAACAACAATTATAAACGCGAAAACAATGAGTTTGTCTTCCAGACGAGAGTAATGTCAGGAAGAGACAGAGAGGATTATTTCGAGATTATGCAGAATAATCGAGATATTTTCATCTAATTATTGCGTAATAAGGGGTATTTTTGAGGAAACTAAAATACTATTAGGAAGTAGTTTTCCCTGGTCATGGTTGTGAGTTTTCCTCGGTTGACCCTGATTTTAATTGTCTCGGTGGACTGGCAAGTATCCCTGGGTGCTCGATACCCCTGCCCAGATGCACTTTTGGCTGGTGTAAGTTTATTCGAAAATAGATTAGCAGTGCGATGACTGTATCAAATGCATCTTCTGGGGTACACGTGCAAGGACACCATTATCAGAGTGTTTTCAACAGTAAATTATTGTTGAATTTTTGAGAATTTTGATGGGGTATTTGGATGTTTTTGAATACTTTCACCAGGTCGTTTGTCACTTTGACGCTGGAAATTGTGAGACGGGTGTTATGCTTGGTCTTGTAATTTTAGGGTGTGGGTTGGGTGAACGATTGGGGACAGGTGTTTTGACGCATTTTAAACGTCAAGTGGCGCGTGAGAGAAGTCTCTTTTACTCAGGGTCATGGAGACGAGGTGAATATTGAGGGTTGAATGACTAGGGTACAAGGATTTCAAGGAGGCGTCCGGGTATTACGTTAATCATTTGATTTTAGCGATAGATCCGATAATCTAGGAAACTCCCCAAGAGGAAAAAGATCTCTTGAGTATCGCGAATTTTACATTGAGAATAGTGAACTCTGGAAAATTATGGATATCCGTATTTCCTAGTTATTTCAAAATTTTTGCTGCTTTGATATTTTATTCCGGTTATATTTGCGAATTTCTTGGAAATAGGGTGGGAATCGAAATTTACTCTCGTTGCGATTTCACTAAGTTTTCCAACTATTTCTTTAAATTTTATGTAGAAATGAGGAATTCTTATAAAAAATCAAATGATATTTACTTTATGTTTCTGACAGTAATTTAGACGTTATTTTCATGGTAATTTTTATGAGTTATTTCCTTGGTACTGTTTTTAATTTTTTATTTCTGGGTCGGTGTGGGTTTCACCGAGGAACTTGGCATTGATCGGGATTGGGTTGTCTTTGGTTTACGAAAAATTCATCCTTTGATGTATTTTTCGTTGAAATATCTCACGTTGAACTTGTTGTGAACCAGGAAATAACTGGATAATTGCAGTCTCAAGATTCTCAGTGCAAAGACTATTCCGCACTAAATATACCCTCGCGGAAGAGACTCCAAGTGAGTTTGCACTGACGACCTAATGCCGACACTGCCACAACGTAGAAATGTACCAAATTAATCCATACGGGAATTCCATAAATTTCTCAACTTGGGTATGAAAAATTCTGGCCGAAAGGGAGAGCTCAGAATTTTTCATGTCAATTTTAACGTGAAAATTCATTGCCAAGGATATTATTGTACTGGTGATATCACGTTTTGGAAAACACGTATTAGGACCTTAGAATTTGGCAGAGTCTGGCCGAAACTTTAGTGAGAACCAAATAAAATAGAACAATTTTCTAAATTTAAACGGATACGTGTCATCACCATTTTGTTATTCTCATTAAGACGCAACTAATTCGCAAAAATAATCTGAACCGTTTTTATTAATTATCAGGATGAATATTTAACTCTCGTGAGTCAATAAATTTAATTTCAATCGATTAGGTAATTAATTAAATTAGTTTTTCATACCCATGATTCGCACAGGTGTCTTCCAAACGTCTCAAGGAGTCACGACAAAAAGTCTCACAACACAGGGAGTGGGGA